TTGGTACATTTACTGCTGAACACTCGAAAGAAGATTAAACAGAGTTCACTTTTGTGTTTTATTAGAAATTTTGATTTATATGTGGACATTCTAAGGTGATGTTTGCACTTATTTGGCAGCAGTAATTTTTGCCACCGCAGCTTCAAATTTTACTTTAAATATATCTGGATCATTCATCGAATGAGCTAATTCGCGGAGATCATTGGTATCGAGAAGAATGATTGTTATCTTGTTTGCTTGAACCTTCGTTCTAAGATTCTAAAATTGTCAATTAGAAATTATATTCAGAAATTTGATAGTCGCAAAAAAGTACAATAAATATCATCCTCGTTATGAAATAAGTTACCTTAACTGCGGTTTTAACTTTTGGGAAGAGTCTATCACCCAATTTTTGTTTTTGCTCCACAATTGGTTTATTCTTGAGAGATTCGAGAAATACTTCTATTTCCTCATGCTGAGCATCATAAACATTGTTGCTAGGTGTTGCGCTTTGCTTTGGCAATTTTGGCTGAGAAGGGGAAATAGAAGTCATCGTTGTTGGTTCCGGTGATTTAGTGGGAGGAGTTGAAGCATGTGTAATATCTATAATATCTATAATTGTTTTAGTTAATTGAAATAGCACAAAGCACATACAAATGGAGGTTAGCGTTAGTTAGGATTTAGTGAAATGATCTGTCAATATTACCGTTACTGTTACGTACTGCACTTCTTTATGGCATTGGACAATCTTATCTATATATAATTCATTGGAACACTTAAAAATTAGTAATTTTCAAAATTATTGAAACCTTGATGACAACTCAAAATTACTTCTAACGCTAATAAAACTCCTCAATATACATGTAATAAATTCCCGATATAATGATATTTATTACGTAATTATCCTCGACCTATCATTATACAGTCAAACCTCCCTAAATGCATGTTCTATAAGTGCACACCCTCTATAAATGAGCCCTTAAGTCTGGTCCCAAGCTTGTATCATAGTGCTAAATGCACACCCTCTATATTCTACATGTGCAGTAAATTTTTAA